CCTTTATCAGATCTGTCATTTATGAATATATTCTCCCATACTGTAGGGTACCTTTTTGTTCTATTGTTGGTGTCTTTGATGTACAGAAGCTTTTCAGCTTGATGTAGTCCCACTTGTTCATTTTTGCTTTTGTTTCCCTTGCCTGGGGAGATATGTTCATGAAGAGGTCGCTCATGTTTATGTCCAAGAGATTTTTGCCTATGATTTTTTCTAAGAGTTTTAAGATTTCATGACTTACATTCAGGTCTTTGATCCATTTTGAATTTACTTTTGTGTATGGGGTTTAGACAATGACTCAGTTTCATTCTCTTACATGTAGCTGTCCAGTTTTGCCAACACCAGCTGTTGAAGAGGCTGTCATTTCCCCATTGTATGTCCATGGCTCCTTTATCGTATATTAATTGACCATATATGTTTGGGTTAATATCTGGACTCTCTATTCTGTTCCTCTGGTCTGTGGGTCTGTTCTTGTGCCAGTATCAAATTGTCTTGATTACTGTGGCTTTGTAGTAAAGTTTGAAGTTGGGAAGCGTGATCCCCCCTGCTTTATTCTTCCTTCTCCGGATTGCTTTGGCTATTTGGGGTCTTTGGTGGTTCCATATGAATTTTACAACTATTTGTTCCAGTTCACTGAAGAATGCTGTTGGTATTTTGGTAGGATTGCATTGAATCTGTAGATTGCTTTAGGCAGGATGGCCATTTTGGCAATATTAATTCTTTCTAGCCAAGAGTGTGGGATAAGTTTCCATTTGTTAGTGACCTCTTCAATTTCTCTTAAGGGTGTCTTGTAGTTTTCAGGGTATAGGTCTTTCATTTCCTTGGTTAGGTTTGTTCCTAGCTATTTTATTCTTTTTGATGCAATTGTGAATGGAATTGTTTTCCTGATTTCTCTTTCTGTTAGTTCATCGTTAGTGTATAGGAAAGCTACAGATTTCTGTGTATTAATTTTGTATCCTGCAACTTTGCTGAATTCAGATATTAGTTCTAATAGTTTTGGAGTGGAGTCTTTAGGGTTTTTTATGTATGATATCCTGTCATCTGTAAATAGTGATAGTTTGAGTTCTTCTTTACCAATCTGGATGCCTTTTATTTCTTTGTGTTGTCTGATGCCATGGCTGGGATCTCCAGTACTATGCTGAATAACAGTAGGGAGAGTGGGCATCCCTGTCTTGTTCCCGATCTTAGAGGAAAAGCTTTCAGCTTCTCACTGTTAAGTATGATGTTGGCTGTGAGTTTGTCATATATGGTCTTTATTATGATGAGGTACTTGCAGGGTGGAGTGATTTTTACAGATATTTTCACAATTATGCCTTACAACACACCTGTGTTTGGAGAAATTATCCTCATTTGACAGCAAAAGACACCAGTACACAAAGAGGTTAATAAAATGCCTGAGATCATGTAGCTTACGAGTGACAGAGTCAGGATCTAAACCCAGGTTTTTTCCTACTGTGCCTTCCAAGCTCCCAGCATACACACATCCCCACACCACACACCACACACACCCTTCATGTGCACTGTGAAAATTAATTAAGGGGAACCTCCCTGACCTGGAGTTGGGAGGCTCGCAGAGAAGCTCTCACGCCCACTGCAACTACATAAGAAGAGACAGAAGATGGCTTCCACCTTCCGCCTCCCCACTGCAGCCCGGCCAGTGAGAGGCAACGATATGCGGGACTCCCAGGTCACTTCACTGGACTGTGTGCTTAGAATAGGCCTCCCACCTCGGCGCCTTTACACGGGTGCCCCTCTCCTTTGCTCCCTACACTAGCCTGTGATTCTGTCACAGCCTGCATGTCCCAGATTGCAACTCTCTGCTCTTCCTGAATAAACCCGTTTTTGCTGATAAAAAAACTTTTTTAAGGTTAAAAAACACCCACACCCACACTAGACACCTTACCCTTACTCCGCACACACACCCACACACACTCTTCCAATACTGTTGGGACAAGCACTGCCTATTTGTAACCTCTGGTCCAATAATAACCACATGCCCACCCACCCACCCCACCCCCAGTTAGGTATGTGGTGTGTTAATGGCCTGGCACTGGCCACATCCAGGTCGCCTTACCGATAGAAATATCTTGTTGGGAAACAGACCCCTCTTGCAAAGGTTTTGCCCTGGGGGCACTGGTTGCACAAAAATGATTCCTTCTGGCAAAACACAGTATAGTCATATATCATGGCACCCACATAGTCTGGCCCATGCCCGCATCCGTGAGTATCTGGGCTGGCATGCCGACTACATACTCTTTGGCACCCACATAGTCTGTCCCCTCACCCCATAGATGCAGTTCCTTCCTGCCCAGAGAGCAGCGTGCAGCCTCATGCAACCCCTGTACCCAGTCCCAGTCACTGGAAAGTCTCTCCGGTGCTTCCCCATCGGTCTTGTGACCAGCAAACCCATTCAAGCCTAGGTGTGTGTGGATGGAAGTTCTCAGAGACCCCTCCAGGACAGGGATGGAGTTGTGCTTTCCTGACAGTGAATCTCCTAATTTTAGGGACTTTTGCAATCTGGATAGGCTGAGAATTTCCTAAATAAGTCCGGGTTCATTTTTGCCTGACAATTCTCCCCTCACTTCTCCCTTCTCCTCACATAGTTTACTGTAGGCAGGAAGAAGAAACCAGGCCACACCTTCAGCACTTGGCCTGGAATCTCAACTACATGTCCAAGTTCATGATTTATAAGCTTTGCCTTCCACAAACCCAGAGGACACGACTTAGCAAAGTTTCTGTCACTGTGGAACTGGATCCCCTGGACCCTCCTAGCTGTTTAGTATAACTTTTTCTTGAGAAGGGCAGAAACTCCGCTGGTTTAGGCAAAAAGAGGCATTTCCTGGAACACTGATAGAACTGGAGGAGAGGGGAGGTGAACTGGTGGGCAGGGGGACCTGGGAGCAGAACCCGCTGCTCTCTAACTCTCCTTTTTTTTTTATTCTATGAGTAAATAATTAGAAGATTCTTTCTTTCAGGGCAGCCTGTTTAGCCAGCTCTGCAAATGCGACCACACCGGTGGCCCCAGCTAGTGGTACCCACATTTACCTCCCCAGAAGGTCCTCCTCTCCTGATACAATTTCCAAAAGACCAAAGAACCATTCGCTTCACCTGCTTGGGTCACCCGTCAGAGGGCTTGGCTACTGGGAAAGGTTCGTCTGGAGCGGGGCGCCCAGCCCTGGACCACCGCTGTGGCTCCTGGGAAGATACAGAGCGGGGTGGGCAGAGTGAGAATAAGGAGGGTCTGGAGCGGCCCTGAGGCCCTGTCGTCCCCCTGACCCCGGACCCTGGTAACCCGCCCTCCGCACCCTCTCACTGCTCTGCCTTCCAGGACCGCGAGCCTGTCTGTTCCCGGGTCAGGGCCAGGCCTGGGACCCCGCAGGACGTCGGGCGCCGGCTGGGAAAGCATGCCTGCACCTGCCGGCCCAACACCCTGCTCCCCGCGCCCCCCTCCCGGCCGTGCACGGGACCCTGGTAAGATGTGGTTGGGCAAGCGGTCCCCACTGACCCGCAGAGTTCTCCTGCGCACCGCCTGGCATCCAAGGGCATCACCAGGCGTTGGTGGGGTGGGGTCGGGGTCTGGGCAGGGGCCGACCAGGTTCTGCTCGGAGGAGCTTGCGGTGGGGATGGGGGCGGGGTTGGGAGCCGGTCCAACAGCTTTAGTGTTGAGGTCCCAGAGGGGTGGAGCCTGAGCCCTACTTCCGGAGCCTCCAGGCGCCCAGGCACAGACGCTGCGCGGTCCGTCCCCCGCTGCACACCGCCATGGGCCTGGAGCTCTACCTGGACCTGCTGTCCCAGCCCTGCCGCGCCGTCTACATCTTCGCCAAGAAGAACGGCATCCCCTTCGAGCTGCGCCCTGTGGAGCTGCTCAAAGGTGGGCCCTGGCCAGCCCCCTCCCGAGTGTCACAGGCTTTCCCCTCTGAAAAGGAGAATAATGTTACCTTCTACTTGTGGGGTGGGGGGAAATATTTAAACGCGTTTCCAGAGTTCCTGCCTTGAAAGCATGTACATGTTTACATTCATAAAAACCCTGAAGATGCGGGGAGTCTGCTGCCCTGTTGTGAGAGTGAAGAGATGGGAGTAGCCGTGCCCCCCTCTCCGCCTCCTCTCCCCTCCTCTCCCCTCCCCAGGCCTGCCTAGATAACAGCTCTGTCCCCCTGCAGCCCCTTGGCTGCTGCAAAGCATCACGCCCTCCCCACTGCACGGCGGGGCAGGGGGGCCCACACAGAGAGTGGGGCGGCTTCAGGCGGACCCCCAGCCCCTGCTGCCTCTCAGCCAGCCAGCCAGGGGCTCTGGTTGGGGAGGAAGAGGGAAGGCAGAGCTGGTGCGGCCCCTGCAGTTGCTCCTCCCTGACGCCCTCCCTGACGCCCTCGTCCACAGGGCAGCACCTGACCGGGGCCCTCTTCCAGAAGAGCAGCAGCCTGAGGCGGCTGCCCACCCTCAAGGACGGCGACTTCGTCTTGACCGAAAGGTGCTCTTCTCCCCTTCCTACTCCTAAGCCCCCAGCGCAGTGGCCCCTGGCTCGCCCACTAGGCAGGGAGGGTAGAGGTGGGAGGGAGCAGCCAGGCCCGGCCCGGAAGGCCAGGGCTTCACGCAGCACCTCTCTTGTCTTCAGCCACCTCCTCTGGCGCCCGGGGGTGTCTGTCTACCGCAGACGTGGGGGCGTGAGAGGATTCCTTCTCCCGGTGTTGAACAGAGAATAGGTGCAGCAGGTAGAAGCTGTAAGGGCCTCTCCAGCCTCCACACGGGCTGCTCCCCAGAGCCTGCCAGGACCATCATGGTGAGGACCAGCCCCCAGGTAGGAAGAGGACAGGAGGTCAGGAAGCTCCAGGAGTGGGGCCCGGAGAACCGGTTAGAGGGGACCCGCTGCAGGTCTGAGGACATGCTGCCCGTCCTGGTCTCTGACCCATGCAAGGTACTCAGTGGAGCGTCTCCTGCGTGCTAGCCCCAGGCAGGGTTTCAGACACCCAGGAAATCTTTTCTGCACTGTGCAGCCTTGGCCAAGTCACTTAACTATTCTGAGCCTTATTTTCCTCATGTGCAAACAAGGTAAGAGTCTCTACCTCATATGTGGCTTCTGGGATATCACAGAGATGAAGTTCTTAAGGTGCAAAGCAGAGGTCTGGCCAGGAGTCAGTGCCTGAGGCAGCCAAGTGAAGAAGGGACTCGGCAGGGTACAGTGGGAGGGGGGGAGGAGGCAGGGCCCTGGAGCTGGGGATGCAGGGGGTGGTCAGGGGAGGAGGCCATCAAGTGCAGAGAAGCCCCAGAGCCCCACCGCAGGACGGGAGCAGCCAGGGATGCAGGCCATGAGCCAGGGGCCTTACGGGCACTCTTCCTGCCCTGTCCGCAGTGTGGCCATTATGATTTACCTGAGCTTTAAGTACCAGACGGCGGAGCACTGGTACCCCCCTGACCTGCAGGCCCGTGCCCGCATCCACGAGTACCTGGGCTGGCACGCTGACTGCATCCGTGGCGTGTTTGGTGTGCCCCTGTGGACCAAGGTGAGGAGAACCATCCAGAGAGTGGCTGATATCAGAGACCTGGTAGGAGGCAGGGCCGTAGACTAAGACCACCCTTCGCCCGCATCAGGTCCTGGCGCCACTCATTGGGGTTCAAGTGCCTGAGGAGAAGGTGCAGCACAACAGGATCGCCATGGACCAGGCACTGCAGGTGCTGCAGGACAAGTTCCTGGGGGACAGGGCCTTCCTCACCGGCCAGCAGGTGGCATTAGCTGACCTCCTGGTGCTGGAGGAACTGATGCAGGTATGAGCTTAGCCCGTGGAGCGGCATCTGAGGGCTGCATCCCACCTGTTGCTGAAGCCTAGAGAAAACTAGGAACTTGCCCGGAATCACAAAGAAAGTTTCTGGCTAAACTGGTGCTGGAACCCTGGCCTCCTGCTTCTCTCCTGTGGTGTGGGTTTCATCCTGGTGCCCTTGGGCCCTGAGGCTGGCCACATTGCCCTGGGCCTCACATGGGGGCTGGGGAAGGGACCTGACAGCTGTACCAATGCTCCTCGCACTGGGGCTTCAGTATCCCCTTAACTTTCCTATCCTTGTTCCCACAGCCCGTGGCTATTGGCTATGACCTGTTTGAGGGACGGCCACAACTGACAGCATGGCGTGAGCGAGTGGAGACTTTCCTGGGTACGGATCTACTCCAGGAGGCCCACAGCTCTATCTTGAACGTCATGGAACGTGTGGCCAACAAAACATTCCTGGAACCCCTGCCAGAAGCCTATCCATTTATGCTGCTTCGTATTTCCAAGATCCCCTGAAGGGTCTTAGCAGGAGACCGATAGTTGGGAGGCTCGGAGATTAGCAATAAAGATTTGCTCTATTGCTTACGTGCCCCTTTTCATCTTGTCTGTCTCTTGTCTCTGACTCCAGGAGGAGCTCTGCCAGGCAGGACACAAGAGGTCCTCAGCAGTGTTGCTTCTCAGGTGCAGCAGATACAGTCAGTAGAACACTAAAATCTACCATATATAAAGAGCTCCTAAAATTCAATAACATGAAGGAAAAAAAAACAACTAAAAATTAGTACATGTCATTGGTCTTTTAGGTATAATGAAGATTCAGAATATGTGAGATATGTGAGTAAGGAACCAAAAATTACTGGCTTTATCACATTGTCATATATATGGAGTAAAGTATATCCCAAAGCAACTGCACAGATACTAAGTCACTATAACATTATTACCAGGGCAACAAAATATTAAGTAAGACAAATTAGAATTACAAACTATTAAAGGATATAGATTATGTTTCACAGGACATAGTAACACTTTTTGAAGTCTGGGAAACTTACAAAAAAGGACTTACAAAAGGACTTCTTTTAATCAGCACTCCTGTCTTCCAGTAGTTTCAGAATAACAGCAAACAGTGGGGTTATAGACTGTCATGCAAACCTCCATGGGTATCAGTCGGAGGCTATCCATGGCACGGAGCCCACATCAAATATTTTAACAGAATTTAATATAAATAATTGGTGACAGGCACTAGAGAAATCCAATGGCAGAGAAAACCCAGATTATCAGAGAGGTGGCCGCCGCTTCTAGGGCTGGGGGACCAAGGGAAGAAATCTGCATTAAAATCTAGGTGCCAGAGGAGAGGCCCCATGGAGCTCACCTCTGAGGAGGGGGCTGCTGCTTCCTGAACTCCATGGAGGGCCCTGTGGGGCTGAAGTCAGGCCTTGGAGAGGGGGCACCAGATGGTACTGGTATCTCACAGCGTGAGTGATCAAACTGGTCCTGGGAGTGTTGGGAAAACTGCAAACCAAGTTCAACTGCAGTTACTGTAAAATCTGCTGCCTGAGCAAAGACCATTGGTGTGATGTGAACAGTGTCAAGAGCCTTTCACCTTGTCCAGTCCCCCACTCAGTTTATGGTACCTGCTGTTTTCAGGGCAGGGTTAATACCTTCTGTAATATCCACTGTGTCTGGCAACTCCAGTACCTTCATCTGAATCCCAAATGTGTCCAGCCATCCTGAAATTCCTTGTAACCCAACCCACAGAGGGGTTAAATCCCTCTGTCAGAGAATCTGGTGGCCCATTTCAAGCCTGGGGCTGTTTCTGCCTGGAAATCAGAATGGCTCCGCTTATTTTAACAGGAATGCTAAGAGAAAAACAATTCTGAGGAAAACAGATTTCCTCATATCAGATTTTATACCCAATCAAAATACTCCTTTAAGAAGATAGGAAAATGTCAGCTGTGCCCTTCTCCTCGCCTACCTAACGAACGCAGGTGTGCCAGAAGGAGGGAGTTTGACCAACCGAAGACAGAAGACATTGGCCTCAAGACCACACTGGCATCTGGAACTGGGTCAGAAGTGATGGGCTCAATTCCAGGGGGAGCCACCCTCAACGAACTGTGGTGACAGCCTTGGCAATGATGGGAGGTGGGGTTTATGATCATTAAGTCCAGAAGCAATACAGACAGGCTGGGTGAGAGACTTCTGCGTTCCAGTCCGTGACGTAGACGAGCTGTAGCAGATGCTTTGACCTTTCTTCTTTATTCCATGGTTCCAGCTCCTAATCCTGGGGCTCATTGCTGGGTTTGTTTTGATTTATTTATGTATTTTTTAATCTCCAGCGATCTGATTTTGGCATCTCCTTCCAGGCAGTGGAAGAGTCAGCTTTTGGCTGTCCTCCTGCTGAACCCTGAGCTCTGAGGACCGGGAAGCTTTCCATTGCCCCGGGTCATGCTCCAAGGTGACATCTCTCCCTGCCTCTGACCTCTGCCGCAGCCACCCTGCTCTGCCCTGCAGTCAGCCTGGACCTGCGGTCCCGGTTCAGCTGCACTGTCATCTTCTGAAGAAGGAATGGCGTCCCCTCGGAGCTGGACACAGTGGGGCTGCTCAGAGGCCCCGTCCCTCCCAAGCCACCCCCACCTTAACCCTGTTCCCTTTCTCTGAGCCCAGAACTGTTGGGTTCTCTTCTGTCTGTCTCTGTGCCGGGCAGGCTCCCTTACCCCGAGGGGAAGGCGGTCACGTGCGAGCACAGGCACCACCCCACGCCCCTTCCCTGTGGACCTTGGTCAGCGTCTTAGACACCTTAGGTCGCTCTAACAAAAATACCATAGACTGGGTGGCTTAAACAGCCAACATTTATTTCTCACATTCTGGAGGTCAGGAAGGGCAAGATGAAGGTGCTAGTAAATTTGGTGTCTGAGAGAACACTTCTGGTTCATAGATGAGGGGCAAGGGAGCTCTCTGGGGTGTCCTCCATAAGGGCACTGATCCCATTCGTGAAACCTCCACTGCACGCACGGCCTGACCACCTCCCGAAGGCCCCGCCTCCTGACACTGTCACCTGGGGGTGGGGTTTCATCACGTGCAGTTTGGCTGGGGGAGGGGCCCCCCGCAGCGTACAGGCAGGCCCCCAAGCCTTGCCAGCGTGGCGATCTGGGCAGCTGAGAGGGCCTGCCCGGGTGGAGGAGAGGAGCAGCGGCTTCCTGGCCCTGGTCCCATTCAGCTGCCTGTGTCCTAATCCCCTGCCCTAGGGCATAATTTGAAGGAGCATTTCGCCCTGGTGACAAACCGAGGAGGGTGTTTGTCCTGTAGGATGGCAACTTTGATTTGGTTGAAAGATACCTGCAGTTCCGCCCGCGCCCCCTTCCCCCACTGGGGGGCTCCTCAGGCCCCTGCTGGTCCTGGACTCCGGCAGCGCCCGGTCTGAGCCGAGGCCCTGTCTGGGTACCAGTGGCTCGGTCTGCTCTCCCAGCCCCTGAGGGTCATCACTCCCACTGTCTTTTTTTTTTCACCAGTAGGTGAAAGAATTTCATTGCATGGTTGTCTTTAAAAGCACAAAAGCACTATGTTGTTCATACAGAAACCTTGGTACAGATGTGCATCCTTTCTGGAAAATCATTATATAGACCCTCTCAAAAAAACATGCACCCCATGAGATGGTTTTAGTGAGGCTGCTTGAAAAAAACTCACATCAGGAAAATGAACTAAGATACGATATGAGGAGGAGCTTCCGGCATCAGCACTCTCTGGAGGACTCGTGCCGGGGGATGATCATCAAAAAGCCTCCACAGGGATCCGGACGATGCTGCGGTTGTGGCTGCATCCAGCCCACCGTCTCCTGGATTTGCCATAAGAATGAGGAGGGAGATGTCTAGGCTGGCATGTGCATACAGTGAGACAACGAATTTGACCGGATCTGTACTGTTGGAACTCAACCAGGAGTTGGGAGGGGTGCAAGTTGTAGCACTCCAAAATCTCATGACTATAGACTATCTATGGTTAAAAGAACATATGGGATGTGAACAGATCCCAGAAATGGGCTGCTTTAATTTGTCTGATGGTTCAAGTACAGTTGGACAATATCCATCATATCATAGATAAATTTTCACAAATGCCTAGGGTGCCTAAATGGTTTTCTTGGCTTCACTGGAGATGGATGGTAATTATAGATTTGCTTTGTTTATGTCACCGTATTCCTATTATGTTAATATGTGTGTGCAAATTAGTTAGTAGTTTAAAACCTATACATACTTAAGGTACTATACAAGAAGATATGTCAAAGAAATAATCAATCCTCCCAAGTTTCCTTCATATGCTACATCTATAGCTTTTCTTCTTCCTTCCTAATTACAA